TAATGTTAAGCATTTGAAAAAAATAAGATTTAAAAAATATATAAAAAATTTGTGTACACACACACACACACACACACACACACACACACACGCGCGCGCGCGCATGCACACACACACACACGCGCGCGCGCATGCACACACACACACACACACACACGCGCGCGCGCGCGCGCACACATACACACACACAGGGTGTTTCAGAATGACCGTCAAATATTTCGTGTGCTGATAAAGCGGATTAAACTGAGTCGAAAAGTTCTCTTATCATTTTGCAATTTTCACAATAGTTAACAAAATATTAATTACTAAAAATTGCGGAATATTGGTTTTTTAATAATTTTTTGCTCAAGTTTACGGAAAACTATCAACTTTACGGAAAAATAGAGACAAAAATTATTTATTTTCTTCTCATAGAAATTTTTTTAGAATTCTCATAGAGAATTTTTTTAGAATTTTTTTATATATATAAATGTATATATTGAAAATATGTATTAACATTTACAGGCATATTCATCATACCATCAATCCAGATGAAATTTATATGCGAATTCATCAAGATCAAGAAGATATATTACTTGAAGATCATGCGATCTCTCGTGAAACTGTTATGATTGAAAGTATGGATCCAGATATTAATCAGAAACATATCAATCGTTATAATTGCCAATACGAAGGCTGTACCAGGACATACAGTACCATTGGAAATTTACGTACTCATATGAAAACACATAAAGGTAAATTTTTAAGAATAATTTTTTATTAGAAATAAAAATATAGTTTATAGGATTTTTAATAATAAATGTGATAAAATTAGAATAGAGAATTTTTTAATGATAGACAATGTTTCTAACACATAAGTCTAACATATAAGTCATTTCTAACATATAAGTAAAAAAATATAACTTGATAGTAAAAATGACCATAAAATGTATAATTACTTTTAGCATATTTTATAGTTTAATATCTTTAAGATCTTTTATCTTATTTAGAATATTTATCTTGGCATTGAATTTTTATTATACTGTTGTGTATGTTGCCTCATCTATAACTGTCTGACCTACATCATTGAAAAACGAACATTATGCTTTGCATTTTGTGCTTGTCTAATATGCAATTTGTTCTATCTGCTATACTAACAAATTATATGTGTGCTTTTGTTTTTACATATTCCCATGGATGAAAGAATCTAGGTAAGTTTTACAGCCATATTTCCTTGTGGTGACGTTAGCAATGAAATTTATATTTATATAATTTTGCTTTGCAACTGATATTATTAATTCATCAATGCTGGTATAAAGGGACCGCTTTGACCTGCATGGCTTTCAGATACTGCAAGAGATAGGTAGACCTGCAATCTTTTTATGTGGAGGGAATTCTCAAAACTTTCAGGCGAGTATCGATTTAAATGTGCAGAGCCGAGTTGTGGCAAGGCCTTTCTCACGTCCTACAGTCTAAAGATCCACATTAGGGTACACACAAAAGTAAAACCATTCGAATGCACTCACAAAGACTGCAAGAAGGCGTTCAATACCCGTTACAGACTGAGAGCTCACCAAAGACTTCATAGCGGTAATACATTCAACTGCGAAGAGACTGGATGTGTTAAATTCTTCACTACTTTAAGCGATCTCAAGAAACATATACGTACTCATACTCAAGAAAGACCATACAAGTATGTTTTTCGGTACTTCCTGTAATATAAAAAAAAACATTACAAATCATTATATAACAACACATTAAATAAATCAAAAGAAAAACATTATAAAAATTAAATTCTAGATTCTCTAATTAATTTCTAGAAGCTATTACATATTGGATATTTTATAAATATTTGAGATTAGCATTTCCTGTTTATTTTAAGATGTAGAGAAAAGGGTTGCGGAAAGGCCTTTACAGCTTCGCATCATTTAAAAACGCATAAAAGGACACATACAGGTGAACGGCCATACGTTTGTACCTTTGAAAACTGCAAACGACGTTTTACTACTCCTCACAGTTTAAAAAGCCACATAAAAACACATAACAAAACTATGAATAACAATACGGTGAGTATTAACTATAGAAATATTAACAATATTAATATGTTGTGTATTAATCTAATTAAATCTTAATTATTTATGACAGAAGCATAAAGATAATAAGGATGATGATGTGGCTGAGAAGCAAAAAAGGTTAACTCAATTACAATTGAAAGTTGTAAAAGTTAGCGCAAGTAACACTACTATACCATCGTATGCTGTCATACCAATATCTACAGATCTCATGCAAAATGATGGAAACATGCCATATGTATCTGCAAAAAATGCAGCGGAGCAAATAATTCCTACTAATGTAATGGATATTATGACGCATCGCAAGTTGGACGCAAAACTCGGTTATATTTCTACCAAAGACAAAGAAGATTCGAATGAAATTACCGAAGTTACGCTTCTTGCAACAGATATCTTAGATAATTTTAACGAACAAGCAGTTAATGTTTTTAACAATAATGAGGATTATGACAAGTTTAAAGTATTTAACCAAATGACTGAATCAAATGTACAACATGATAATTTAATGGATGTTGTTGGGCATCAGAATCATTTGCACAAGTCAGCTTCGTTACCGGAAATGCATAGTGACAGTATAGCTAGACAGGATCAATCTATCCCGGTAAATTTAAGGCAGAAGATTATGCAGGATGGTTTACAAAATGCAATAGCACATATTTCCGAGGAAACAAGTTTCACGAATAATGTGAAACAGTTTAAAAATAATTCCATTACTGCTTCTGATGAAGTATTCGTAAATCAACCAAATGCAGAAGATTTGTCTGATAACAATGCGTTATATAGTGCCAACTGCATTACTAGTCATATTACTGACATTATAAGTTCCTCGAACGAAACCCACCTTTTCGAGAGCGAAATGGATACTCTCTCATTCATGGATGATACGAATTTACAGAATGAATCTCTTATCGCAGTTTCAAATCAGGATTTACATGTAAATGCAGTTACAAACAGTCAGTCTGAAGCCGTTGAACTCGCAATAGCGACCGAAGAGGAATTACCTTCCTCTTGGATAGATGTGATGGCATTGGCAACTGCGCCTGCATTGAGAGCACAATCTTGGTCAGAATTAAATGCTTTTCCTACAGTTCATTCTCTAGTAGATCTAGTAGGCCCAGAGCCTTATCCACTAGAAATGGAAACTCAGCCATCTACGGAAAATTTAAAAAATGTCAATGCAATGAATACAGAACATACTTTGGCAAACATCGACATTGTACAATGCCAAAAACTTGCAGAGTATGAGCATAAAACAAATAACGTAAAGAACAAAGATAGAAATGTTCTACAGGAGATTACTGCAGATGCTGATATATGTAAATGTACTGATTGTAAATGCGATAATGTACAAAATTGCCAGAGTTGCACAAATACCCCGGTCGGCGAAATAATGAGAAAAGATACGGTACAACTCGTAAGCGACTTTATGTCTTCTTTGCAAGGTAAATGTTCCTGCAACGCCGAGGCCGGTGGTTGCGATTCTTGCTGTGTTGTAATTTGTTTAAAGACACTGCAGCAGCTACAGAAAATATTTAGTAATTGTTGTAAGAATACTAGCAATACTACAAATGCATGTTGTAGGGAAAAGTTGTTACCATCTTTGATGAAATGTCAAGTAGCAAGGAATCAGTGATTTGCAAATATTCTTTATTAATTTTAACTAGTCACGCAAAACAATAATGCTGTATCTCTATGCTAATCCCCCAAAAGATTTGTGATTTTACACCTGATAGCTTTAAATATGGGCAACTTTTTGCCTTTCGAATATTTTATTTAGACAAATTGAAAATATACGACTGTACATATATATGCTATATTTGACAGAATCTGTTAAGAGATTCTACATATAACATATTCTATACATTTTGTGCCAAATATTTGTAGACTTTTTACAAAAGTGTTTATACATACAAAATTACTGTTGCATAATTATAATACACAATAATTATATTACACAATTAATAATATACAAGATGTCCGCAATTTCAAAATAATTTCACAAACGTAACTTAAAAAAAAAATTAACAATTGACAATATCCACAGAATGCAAGCAACAATTGTAACAAAATAATAATATAATATGCAATTGTTTGTATATAAATAAGTTATTTTGACATAAACAAATGTTTTATAAATATATGTTTGATAATTTTTTGTGCAACGTAAAAATGGATAGCTAGTATATTTTTTGATATCTGAATTACAAATATGCTGTTTCTTGTATGGTTGGTCTATAAATATATATTGTTGAAGAACTTGTCACAAATTTAAGAGCGTCGAAAATATATACAGCATATTAACGTTACTTCTTTTTCTAATTTTTATTTATGGTAAATATAAAAATGATGTAATAATAGTTGTATGTTTAAGAATATTATTTATTTAACTTTTGAATGTATGTTCCCAAATAATAGCGTTAACCCTAAGAACATTATACATTATTATGGTTTATATCTACGCCGATATTTATAAGCAAAAACTTTTTGCTAGTGCATGTTTACTAAAAAAGAACTTGATATTTCCTCAGTTAATCAGGAAATGCCAAATACTTATAAACATCCAAAGTATTTGTAACGTTATTGCTATAACGTTACTAAGATACTAAGTTTTAAGTTTTAACTAGAATTTAGTGTTATGTTGCATTATTATAATGAAAAAGAGATTGGAGAAATGTTAATTTTTAACAATTTTAGCGTGAAAATTTTTATGGCTGTTATAAGTACTTGCAATAAAATCAATGTACCTAAATAGCTTGTAAATATAGCAGCATATTTATTATGTTGTTAATGAACAAATATAAAAACTAATTCAATAAAGACTCTATCACAATTATCCTCTCAATTATCTTCTTTTTGCATCTACATTAATTTTAATATAAAATAAAATTTGACACAATGTTTTAATAAATATACATGATTTAACATATTTTTATTGTTGTTACACTATACAACAATATTATGATAAACATGTTGAACACATGCCTTTTTCTAACTGATAGTGTCGAAGTATATATATATATATATATAT